TATATATATATATATATATATATATTTCAAATTTGTATTTAGTATTGAATTACATATAATATCTGCTAAAATGTCGTATATATGCCATAAAATGCCAATTTATTAATTTGAAGGACAGTTACAGATGTCTCAATAAAAAATATGTTATTTACGAAACAGGTATCCAGCTTTTATTTTTAAAAATTCTCATTTAAATACTGAAATTCAAAGCAAAAATTTAATTCGTAATTTTCTCTATCAGCAGTCTAGGGCGATTGACAACCACAAATACACGTGTTCATCATGTTGAAAATAGTAATAATATTAATTTTATAAATGGGCAATATTTTGATTTTTATGTAGGTCCCTCAATTAGTATGCAAGTGTGTATGTGCTTATATGCAAGCCGACAGATATTTTTATACTTATGCATTTATTGAGTTGATTTTATTGAATCAAAGTACTATTTTTCTTATTTGAAAGCTCGATTGCCAACTTATGAAAAGAAATTTACATGCACACCACAAAATTTCTATGTATTTTTGTGTTTATCACCTTAAGTTTTATAATTGTATTTATGGCACTTTGGGATCATAAACCCATACATAAAAAAAAATTATTGCACTTATAGGAAGTATTAGTGATATTGTTGATGTAATATGAGAAAATTGAGTGGTAAGCATGTAAATATATAAAGGTAGGTGATATATATGTAAATTCATAAGAATCTGGTGGTATATATGTAAATGCTCCAATTTTAAATTTGATTTAGTTTAATCTCAAGATATTGGTAATAATTGTTTCTCTTTATCAATTGAAATAGCTAACACTTAAAATTAAAATAATTTCGAGTGTATTTTTTTTTCCCAAGAAGAGTGTTAAATCTTAAATTGTCCTTTGAGATAAAACACGCCTCAAAAGTTGGAGCTGGGAGGAGTGTAGGAGAGAGAGAGAGAGAGAGAGAGAGTAAGAGAGAGAGTAGAGCTGACAAAGATTTCTTGAGAGAGGAGTGGGGAGAAAAGTTTATTCATTTTTTTACCTCCTATTTTTAGGGGGTCTTTTGTACAATTACAGAAAGAAGGAAATGGTTATGGAAACTGCCCTTAATGTAGTTAATGTGCTTATTTAATACAAAATTTATGTCGTCATTTAAGTGTCCTACAATGTTCATTAGTTGACCGATGAATTTTAGTTCCGTTGACTAGGGTGATCGTTTGTGTGGCGATCGCTCCTGCCGAGGTATAGCCAGTCGATCGACTAATTGTGATCAGGAGCCCTTGGAAGAAGTTTGGGTAGTTGAGACCGTAAGCACGATAAGTCAATTGAATCCCTCAACATTTTGGGTCTACCAACCTGATATAGTGGTTGTTCGTGGAACGACCATGCTCGTTCGACGCATCACTTCGATTGCCCAGCCGCCGTCCTTGGTCCTCTGATTACTTTGATATTCCTGCTAGCAGTTTTTGTGTATACATAATAGTTCCCCGAGTTTTCCAGCTCCTTGGTAGTGTCAGCTTGGATAATTACAGGGAAACTATTAAGAAATTAGTTGCACGATAATTAAGAAAACTTATTCAATAATTGACTTCCCTAGAGATTTCATGCCCAGAGAGCGCTATAAAAAAGACCATAAGGTTGGCATTTACGTTCTTTGCCGCCAATTTTCCACAGATAGTGGGAAGCGTGGTTGACAATACGAGCCAAGGTGAAGTGGACCTTAAACTTCTGACTAAGTTGAGCTATCAATTCCCAACCTCTGTAAGGAAGAAAAAGGTCATGATGAAGAAAAATCAGTTGATTCATGAACCTGCATCGATTGATAAAGTCGGCTCGTCTAGGGGTCTTGAGGCGCAGGTGTCGAGAATGTCTCACATGAGAGGCTAGACTCTTTAGGTTAGTGCAAGTATGATTGTTGAAGGTACACAAGGCCTGATTATCGAGGTTCTCAAGGATGGTGGAGATGGACTGATGGCAGTCACCGGCCCTCCCCAGCCATCACCACAGAAAAGCGGTGGTACCCCATCTAGAGGGGAGATGCATTTAGGAAGGCCCATTCTTCAATAAACTGATTCTTAAGTATGTAAAAATTATTTTGATTATTGGTGTTTTTAGTGATTGATTAACATTATCTCAATGTAGATGAATCAGTTGGGTTGGGGGATCGTGTGGTCGGTGAACAATTAAATGATGCTACCGATTCAACTCTTATTGTCGCAACCAAGGTGTAAAGCATAATCGCCACTCTCCCCTCATTGGTTTAGTTAGAAGGCATCGATTGCTTGATCCATTCCTTGCAGCTGGTCCCACTCTATTGACTTCATTTTGCCACTTTAGTGGCCCTTAGCAAGAGCTTTGTGAAAAGCCACACTTTCCTCTGACTTTAGGGAGCGATAAACGAGCGCAACAAACAGATCAAATGACTTGATGAAAAAGAATGAATGACCTAGAACTCATGGAGGAAGAAGCTACTAAATTTGAATTTTCAATTCTAAAATATACACTTAGGAAGTATACCCTATCTTAGGGGTAGAAAATTTGGATCCTAAAGAAGAAGAAATAGAAAGCATGATCTTCGTACCAAGTCCATATGCATCAATTCTTATCTTCATAGTGTCAGAGGAACCAACTGAAAAACAAATCATTTATGAAGAGAATCCTAGACACGTCCAGATAATCAGATGACATTATTTCAAACAATTTAAGAATATTGACGGCCAAAAAATATATATACTCGAGGCAATACAGTTGGTCACCAAAGTATTTGATGAAGATGAACAAGTCATCATTGTTTAACATGTGATGGAGGCATGTGATAAGGGATGAGTTGAGAAATTAGAAAAGGCGTTGGAAATGTGGAAAAAGGAAAATTATAATACAATACAGATGTTGTTATAATTATGCCTAAGATAGAGAGAGGAATCCCTAAAAAATTTTACAACATGAATGGGTGGATTCAATGTCAACCCTAATCATTAAACATATTAAAATATTGGTAGCGTAGAATATAATGTCGTCCAGTTGTATTCCTGACAAATATATCATCAATATATATGAAGAGGGAGATTGCATCCCCCCACATAATGATCATCATGGTTTTGAAATGCTCTTTTTCACGATATCACTACTAAAAAAGGTATGTTATAATGTTTGAACAACAAATCCAAATCATAGGACTAGGAGAATTTTATGGATCTTATCAGATTCCCCTCCCACAAGGATCAGTTCTAATACTGCAGAGAAGTGGAGTTGACGTGGCAAAAAATTGCATACCAGGAGTAAGCAGACAATGGATCTCAATGACATTACAAAGAATGCATCCTGAGAAGCGCCCTGTTGGTTAGCAACCCAAACCAGGGCTTGAGGGACTATGTCCTCTGGAACTACCACTTCTCTGCAGTATTAGAACTGATCCTTGTGTATGGAATATCCGAGCACTTGAGCTTCTTTGTATTGAACTTTTTTTAGAAATTTTCTCGGAGTGCAAGGTATCCTTGGTAGGTCGTAGTGTCCAAGGTTGTTGATATGACCAAGGAAGATGTGATAGCTTTTGTTATGACATTTTGATGATAGTTTTTGTCATGACATTTTGCTTATGATGTATGATGTCCTGTTAACATCTCTGATTAACTTTTGTTATGGTATATTAGCTTTTGTAATGAGATGGAAATTTAGTTTATTACAAAAAGCAAAAAAACCCCAAGCTGTTGGCAATGTTTGTGCAGGTCCTGAAAATCCAAGATAAAAACCTACAACTAAAAGAAAAGGAAAATAAAAAATGAAATGAAATGACATAAATAAAAGAACAATAAAATTTTTTGAATTGACATAAGAGTTATTTTCCGACAAATAAACCAAAAAACTAAAAATTTTAAAATAATTTAATTCCCTCTATGTCTCTTTAGCTATTAGATATAAGACCTTTCTGACATGGAGTTATAGATTTCCTTTAGCATTTTCTTTGAAAAAGTATGTATGACTTTTAGCATTTATTCCCAAAACCAACATTTGACATCTTCGAGAGATGGTAACAGACCTCCTTCAATGGACTATGACATCCACTTTCTCTTTTGCTATTAGATATAAGACCTTCCTTACATTGAGTTTTGGCTTTCCTTTAGCTTTTCCTTTGGGTTAGAATTTAAATCTCCTAGCATTCCTTCCCAAAATCAACATTCAACATCTTTAAGAGATGGTATAAGACCCATTTCATTGAAGTATGTCATTCACTCTCACTTTTGCTCTTGGATATAGGACCTTCCTGACACGGAGTTATGGCTTTCTTCCAGCTTTTCCTTTGGGATAGGATGTAAGACTCCTTCTCAAAACCAACATTTGATATCCTTGAGAGATGGTGTAAGACCTCCTTCAATAGATTATGACATCCACTCTCTTTTTTATTTTTGGATATAAGACCTTCCTGACATA